TTCCCAAAGGAATTTGGTGGTAACAAACAAAGCTAGAAGAAAGAGGGTGAGCATTGATCTTGTGTTGGTCAGTTGGACAAAAACAAAACTCCAAATGAATGCTGAAGGAGCTCTCTGTCTCTGTACAATATGTGAATTATACCAGTTGTTTTGTAGCTCTCAGCTTATTGTACTGCCTTCAGAAAATAAAAATGGAGGCGTCAGGTCACTAAATTGAAACATTTGGCCACACATGCTGGTGGTTGACCCTTGAACCGTGGTTACCGTTGTAAACGTTGCACATATTATACCCCTGTATTTATGGCTGAACCCATAAGAATAGATATGCATGCTCAACATAGAGACCTTTTTCCAAGATACATGTCTTTCCTAAATTCCTATGATGAAGGTCAAAATAAGTCATGCCTTTATGGCATTTCTTACATTCCTAAATCTACTTTCTGTCTGTCGTAGTTCAGGTTTTGCTCATAATACAGTAACAGATAGAAGGAATATAAATATTGAATGTCTGCTGTGATATATTCCGTATGCTCTGAGATGACTGTGATCCAGGCTGCCTTTCAGTATCACTTCATTTAAAGGGGAATGAAGTTCAAATGCAGGGATGTGGCTCATTCTCATCCCACCCAAGCGAGATAAAAAAATCCAAATACTGTTCTCCGGGGATAAGTCCCAGCGGAAGAAGCTCATTCCCCAGAGTGCCTGGATGGTACGAAGGAACCTCAACCTTTGATAAGCTATCAACAGCTGTCTCTGCTCTCAATCAGTACATATCCACACTGCTGCTGACTCCTGCTCTCTCGGCTGGGAGCCAGCATCAATACTGTTTCCACCCCACACTGCTTAGAAAGAAGGCCCATTCTCTCTGAAATCTATTGAGAATTCTCTAGAAAATTGAAACTCTAAACTTCGTTCGCAGAGATCGCGGCCACTCTAGTCAATGGGTGCTATTCTACCAGACGCGCCGCGTTACGGCTCAGAAGCGTCCCAGAAGCGTCTCGGAGCTGGGCTCTGCTCAAAATAGGATTCAAGTCTATTTTCCGACGCGAGGCGTTGCAGAGGCGCCGGGCAGGAAGTGGACCGGTCAGAGCATCCAGTCAATCCCCAAAACTAATTTTGCAGACCCTATCCCTCCGTAGTCTTTCAAGTAGGAGGCCAGCGTTCTCCTCCGGTTTACAGGCACTGTGTAAATTATATATATAGAATAATTATGATGATGAATGAATTTTTTTACCACTAAAATACAGAAACACATCTTTGATTCATGTCATTTATAACTGGGATATTACAATTATTATTAACTTTATCTGTACAAAGTAGCCTGTCCAGGAAATATGCCCAAATCAACAAAAACTGCGAGCCGGCAGGCAAGACGCTCCGCTTCTGAAATGCTTCTGAAACGCGCCCGGTAGGGTGTGACGCCGCCGGAGGAGGCCGGACCAAAACCGTTTTGGTATTTTAGTGGTAAAAAAATTCATTCATCATCATAATTATTCTATATATATCATTTACACAGTGCCTGTAAACCGGAGGAGAACGCTGGCATTTCTCCTCCTACTTGAAAGACTACGGAGGGATAGGGTCTGAAAAATTAGTTTGTATGTGTGTATATATATATATATATATATATATATATATGCTATATATGCTCTGAACGTTCCACTTCCTGCCTGCCCGACATTACCAACTACTTTGCCAAACCATCCATTATTTTGTTTGACTACAGGGTACTTCTGGATTTGTGAGGGGGTATCATACTTTTGTAATATACAATTTTACCACCAGAAAGTGTTTTCAAAGTGTTCATGTATAAATATTGTTCTGTTGTCCTTAAAATAAAAAATCACACAGATGTTCCCTCACCTTTTTTTTCTGAATCAAATTACCTTTTTAAATAAAGACAATACATCCTTGCCCAAGACTTTAATGAAAACGCCCTATGTTAGTTGTGAGAAAACACAATACAATAAAGCTTGAGACACACTAGAGCACATACACATGGAGCATGAATGCAATAAGCTAAAAATACTTTCTGTAAGCAAATATTGGACCTAATTAATACAATGTCAGTGTCCAACTTCAATATTCAATACAAATTCAGTAACTGAGGAGGCCATTCTAGATTATTCCTGAGAAAATTGGATCTATTGACTGTGTTCCTAAGTATTTCACTTTCCCACTTGTAGCATCTGCAGCATAATTTCAGAAGAATAGATGAGAAAAGCGTAGACCTGGAGCAGTAATGATGTCTCTTTTCTCTCTGGACTGCCTGTCAATATCCACCCCACCTGCAACCAGGCTGCAACATCTGTCAAATACCGTGTTCTGTTGCCTGGGAATTAACCAATTTCATTACAACTCAGTTACTTTATTTATCCCCAGTGGGGCTATTAAAACGCCACTGTCCATGATTCCTGGGTCATCAGCCGTAAATGATATTTCTTTTTGAATAAAACCGAATTGCTAATTTATCCAGCAGGGAACCTTATAAACTTTCTAAATCGCCCAATATATGATTGAAGATACAGTTCTATCTCAGTGTTTTTCAATTAAAGAATAGTGCTGTTTGAAAAAATGCATTAATCTGTTTTACCTGTAGGGTCAGTGTAATACTTTGGTTCTTGAGTAATAGCATCATAAAGTTATGTGCCAGTCTATAAAAAAGATCATTTTACTTTTAAGGTATATCTAAGGAAATGGCACAACATGGTCCAGCTTCTAACTGTCTAATACACATTGTTCTTGTTGCTTTACAAAGTAGTCAAAACAATTAAATATTCATTAGAAAAACCTCTCCTAGTCCACATAAATGGAACGATATTTTAATATTCACGGGAAGAGTTCATTCAAGGTGCACTGCACAGTATGCAAAAGAATAGAGAGATATCATCAGGACTTCAAAGTCCTGCATAAAGCCTCATTTCAGCAGACACTGCAAAAGATCTATGAGCCTAGGTGTTTCACAGATAGTATGTAGTTTGAAGTAATCTGGGCTGCAATAAAAAAATAAGTGATCTGTCATTATAATCTACACAGAGGAATGTAGCCTTTTGCAGGAAAAGTGAAATTCAATTGTCTCAGCAAGTACATTGTCAGTGAAGGACTAATGCATACAGGACAGCTGTACAGAAACTCCATATCCATGTACTTTTTTCTTTTAATGTTTAATTGACAGCACTGTAACTTTTATCCATGTATTTTTTCTTTTAATGTTTATTTTATTAGCTTTTCTTTTTAATGATTTTAAATGCCATTTTCTTAATCTCTTTCATTTTTTGTAAAGCACTTTGAATTGCCTTGTGTTGAAAAGTGCTATATAAATAAACTTGCCTTGCCTTGCCTTGCCTTGCATAGTAATACACTGAGATCATAATGGCAGAGCTGGTTGGTGGACCTTGAAGGTTCCTCCTCTTTTGACTTATCTGAATTAAATTAATCCATATTTGCTTACACATAATGTTAATTAGACTGCTATTATGTATAGTCATGCAATACTGATCCAGGAGTAAACAGATGTCCTCCCAAGGACGCTAGAGGAGAACTGTAGGTGTTGAGCATGTGCCATTACCTGAAACGACGCTCCATCTGAGCATTTGTGTCATTGACTTTGAGGCACAGTGTGATAAACTAATAAAACGTGAAATCGAATCGAACCATTAGACCATTAAAGTGTTAGCAGATGTAGAATTGGGCAGCATGTCGCATGTTAGTTTTATTCAGTTTGAATGATCCAAAACGAATTGTGTGACACAGCTTTGTTACCACAAGGTTTTAATTACTGCCGATGTTTTATTTGTAGGTGGATTCATGGTCAGGATCTGAATGGAATTTATATGATTAGAAACTACCGCTGTTTTTGGAAGATATCCAAAACAACTTCTTTAAAAAAAGGTAACTTTTTAATAAAACTAGTTACATTATATGTGATCTAAAGGTACTTTGACATGTTTTTATTAATTAACCATATCCAACTGGGTGGTAGATTATGCTATAACAGGCTCACGTCTGCATCTATGAAATTAATATCCATTTGTCATGGAATCCATTTAAGCAGATCCTATGCACTGAATACGATATGTTACATATACATACGTAAATACAATTTTTATTTTATTTGTTTACTTTCTTTATAACCGTGTTTCATGGTAAGCTAATATGACATTGAATCATCTTTGAAATTATTTGCTAAATGTTTGTAGTATTCTGTTTGAAGGAGAAGGTTATCAAAGTTATGCTTTTTAGTCCATCTCTCAATATATGCCAATTTGTTCTCTGAAATTGAGCCCAAGCTTATTTTTGGTCATTTCCCCAGCTGGACACTGAATATCTTATCAAAACTCAAATGTGAATAAATAGCACCTTTTTGAGGACTATTTTCAGCAGCGGATTAATAACCATGTATTTAACTCGAGTGAGTATTGAATATAGCGGAACAGACAAGCAATGGTCTTTAGTAAGAACAATTCATTGTTGGTTTTAAACTATTCCGAGTTTTGATAACAGGAAAGGATAAAATATCACAAGACTTTCAACCTCCCAACTATGTTTGGCTCCCTGCTGCTACTTTCCATTCCTAAAATATGTGGCTGGTCATCCATCATTGCACCTAGTAATTAGCCCTCAGTACCGAGCACTGTACTATAAGTACTTCTGGTTATAAATAATCTCCAATGCTTCACAATTGTAATCTACTGTAGGTCACTGCTGGGTTTACCCAGATGAACATTACTGTAATGCTTTAAAAGCCAGAAACCCAGAACCTGGTATCAACACAGTTGGAAGAGGGGTGTTTACCCAGGAAAAAAGTTGGGTCACTAAAAAGGTGCTTTGCTTTCTCCTTAATTACATGGTACGTCAATCCGTTCATTTGTCAAAGGAAACATATGAAGGGTGGTGTTTATTTCCAGCTCTTGGTTATCTTACATATGTATTTAATTCAAATAATCATTTTTCGTGAAGGTAAGACCATTGTGTGTAATTACTTTTATTTAAAGCATAACATTCCCTAAAAGTCATTCATAAATGCAGATACCTACAGATTACTGATGGAAGCATTCAGAGACATCATATCATTTAAAGTCAGTAAAAGTATTTTGTTCATCACTTTGCACAGCAAAAGCTCAGCCACTCAAAATCACAAAATGTTATCCTAATTGCAAAATCAGAAATTGTAATCCTATTGCAGCCTAACACTTCAAATATTTAGCAGATTATATATGTTTTAATATGGAACTGCTACCCCCGCGACCCGACCACGGATAAGCGGGAGAAGATGGATGGATGGATATTTTTTAATTGCAACTGACACATAAAGAATTCCACTTTAGACTGCCTGAGCATAAACATAGAAGCTGGGAAAAGGCTGTTGCTACTTGATTGCTTTTCCGTGTAAAGAATTAAGAAGGAAAAAACTAACTTTAGTGGAAATTAAATTGTCCGTTGCTCACAATAAATAAATAAAAGTGTTGTGGGTGGATTCTGTGCAGGTAAGTTCTTCCTTTGTTGGTTTTATGTTTGGATACAGGCAGTGCAAATAGGATTACCTGCTCAATGTTTGTTTTTTGACTGAGATCATGCCTGACTCATTTTATCACAAGTTACAAGTTGTTTGCATGACTTTTTTATGGAAGGGAACAGAAACCATATCTGCTAAACACAAAATGTGCATTTGAATAGAAAGCTATATTCTTCTATGTGTCCACAATAATCGATCTTGCCAATAAAAAGATTAAAGAGCCCCATATCTATTTGGTATTATTGAATCATATTTCTGTAAGCTATCTGTGTTCACTGAAGATTTTAAATAAAGATGATGGCGGGAGGGGAGCACCATCACACTGAACTAACTTGGCATTAATGGCATTAGATATCATTTTCTCAATCTTACTGAGCCATAAAATATATATCTATTTCATTCAAATCCCCTTCTCATTGCTCTGGGCATTATGATTAACAATGATCCAAGAAAGATGAAATATTCATTGCGTTCTTTCATTTTTGCCACTTGTACATTAGATGTTTTTGTTGTAAAATGAACTTCTCCTTCAGTGGCTGCTGCCCACTCCACTCTGACTTGGACATTTTTGCCTGAAATTGCAACTGCCTGGAGATTTAATCACATATGTGAAGTGTTGTGATACAAGTCCCCTGGCAACCAGTTCCCCTCGTTTACCTATAATTCATCTCTTTGTCACTAAGGCCCCTCTTTAGTCTGCAGGCTAGATATACAGCTTCTGAACATGCTTCATGCAAACATGATGTGTTGAATGTATGCATTAAAAAGCTATGAATCAATCACACTCGGTGGAAAACAACCGTCAGAGTCTCCTTAGCAGAATGGCTCACTCTCCAACTCATGCCTAGAGGTGTTTTAACTTTCTTACATGACCTTTACAGTTCTTTGTCAAAACTCGAAATTTACGAAAGAATCCCAGGGCAATAGACTTTGGAAAGAGTGTATTTATTTATTTGCAATTGTGTTTTATTATATCAGATTAACTATTAATAAGACTAAATATTGGTGCTGTTTTAGAGATCTATTCTGAATATCAAATGCCATCGCAATAAGCAGAGAGCTTGCATTCATTGACAAAGCTGCTTCACTGTACTGTTGCAAGTTTCTTTAGTGAAATTACTTCATGGGAATATAAAGAGAACGTTGTGCTTGTAATCATTTTTCACATTTTTAAACTGTGCATTTTCCATTGTCTGTATGATATTTAAAAGATGGTCGATTCCACGTTGGAAAAGGAATTGACGTGATATTGTACTTACTGTCAGTCCTTTCACATGAAATATGTCAAACCAATTTATTTGCATATTTCCAGTATTTTGGGACATTTTGGACTTTATGTACTTCTAGATTCTTTTGTAGCACCTGTGCTTTTGACCGCACCCCATGGTCTTCAACATAGAGATGATCGGTTGAGAGAAGACAAAATTAACGCAAAACAGCAGCAAACCTGCACGTGCGCCATGTTTTCCTAAATATAACCAGACATGAATACGCTGTGATCTGAGTTAGGGAAAACATTGTGCAATGCATTCTTAATGCAAATGTTTTACAACTTGATTGTAAACTCTTTTTTTTAAGAGTTGTTTCGAATAAATATTCAGAGTTTTCTGCTACATTATCAACTAGCAAGACTGCATTACAGTACAATGATTTATTAAGTTTGACATTTACAGTATTATTTTGTTGAGGTGTGATGTCATGTCGGCCATCCAAACAGCCCAACAGCCTTTTTCTATGAAAAAAAAGCAGAACAAAGCTTTTATTTAATGAGCATTCTGTACAACAGAAACTGAACAACAACATGAATCATCCTCCAGTCAGTGCAATCACTTTACAAATGTATTTTGTGAACTGCCTGTATTCCATTCTACTGACAAACTCAAAGTTCTCAGTCATTAACTACGCACACAATGAAGGCCCAAATCGATACAGGAGTCCTCTGGAGATGTAATCCCTTCTTACTCTAAGCTCTAATCAATGTAACAAGCAGGCTTGCATTCGGTCCAACTTAAGTCTGCATCCAACTGTGTTTACGTACCATTGCCTTCATTTGATTTGTCAGAAATAAAGTTACTTCTTAGAATATTAAGTTTGTTTATTTTCAGAATATATACTCCGCTGATTTACAATGCAAGGTCAATTACCAGATTTTGAAATAATGAGATACGAGAGTGTGTTGAAGAGGTGACATTAAAGCCCTGCTTATTGTGAGATATAAGTGTTTGGCACCGGTGAAAGAGAATATATAAGATATTCAAGTGGCTTGCATAATAAAATAGAGAAAATGGAACTGCTAATGTAGTATAAGAGATATAGAAATATAAACTTTTAATGAACACAAAAGACCAAATCAGCAAAAAATATGAGAACATAGATTGAATGTTGAATGGGAAAAACATAAAAGCATTGTACACAATTTAAACCAATTGATGTTGTGTAATTAACAAGGATAAAATTATGTTTTTAGTGGATGAGTACTCAAGATATAGCTTTAAAATCATTTGACAGTAAGGAGAATACGGTTTTATTATGAAAACTTCGAGACTGGAAACTTTACATGGACGCTGCCGTGTTCTCCTGGCGAGACCTCAAATCATCTTCGTAATATCTGTCAAACTATAGATCCTACACATCCACTGGACCTGGATTCTAAAAGTATATACACTTCTCGCTAGAAATCAAATCAAAAAGCGTTTTAATGACCAAACTATTCCACAATTTAGGATTTTACAGAGAGGGTTATTTGTGAATATACGACCCTCCGTGGCGTTTGCATTCAACGGGAGCACTGGAGGTCGAAAACTTTAAAACGTGATTATAGATCGTAATACGCGCTTGAACAATCGACCTATTTGGTCGCATGAGTTGGAGGACTTGTTGACAAAACTATATTACCGCTCTAAAAGGTTGAAGTCTCAGGAGTGAGCCTGGACTGGTATAGCAGCAAAGCTCGAGTGCTGAAGGCAGTATGAATTTCTCTGGCCAAGCTCCGTGATTGGCACCGGATGGATGAGTCCAGCCTGAGGCAGTCAAGTGTTGCTGGATATCAATCAATGTTGATAAATAGCCCTCTCTACTGCAAACAAATGTCCCCTCTTTTACCACTGATTTAGATGAATCAGCCATAAACATCCAATTGGTCTGGCTTTCTCTCCACTCATCAAAGTACACATGTTAGCTGTCTTTTAGTACCAGAACAAATGTCCTCCAAAACACTGGCAGGCTTAACATTTAATTTCCACACTACATAGGCACCTAAACACCTCTGTGAAGACAGACAGTCATCTCTTACACGTGTTAAACAATGGCATATTAATTTCTCCTGAGTTTATGACTGCCCTTTCTCTCTCTCTCTCTCTCACTATCATTTCCACAATGTCGCAGTAGAAAGGCTGTCAGGGTGAAATCTAAATAGGTAATTATCTGACTTGTGTGAAAGGGGGGAGATTTCCACGTGACCGAGCTAAAATGAAACCCACTGCTCAGCACAGGAATATTAATTGGAGTTCCACCTTGTGTCTGGAGCCTTTATTGGTTCCTCTTGTTTTCCTAAGCAAGCTGAAATGAAAGCAGCTTTTCCATTCATTTACCAGTGATTGTTTACCTAACGGGTTAGCATCTGAAGCGGCTTCATCTCAGGCATTATTGATTGAATCCCAAAACTGACAAGAAATGCAGATATTATTTGTTTTCGTTGTCTGTGTGTGTGTGAGAGAGAGACTGGAGAATGGTTGCCCTGTACTTATCCTTGCTTCTTAATAACTGAGTAACGTCTGTTTCTGGTTGCTTACTGCCCCCAATAGGCCAACACAGTGAAAAATACAACATGAACGACAATGGATTCTTTACACAAGTTCATCCTATACTTGAATCTAATAGCCTTGAAAACATATGTTCTTGGACAAAATAGACCATTGACAAAAATGTAACTTTAATAAATGTACATACTAAATACAGTAGGCTGTATATGTCTGTGGATGTGAACATATATTTAAAAGTCACAAACCGAGTTGGATAATAATATTATTACAATAATATAATATAATATTCATTATAAATTATACATTGATAGTTAACTCAACTTAAATTCAATTAAGTGAGTAAATGTAGATTTTACTGTTAAGAAACAATTAATAGAATTGAATAGCAATTACATTGCTATTTATAATGTTAACCAATTATTAGTAATGGTATCATTGATATTACAGTTAATTGTTGCAAACATTTAAAAAAGATTTGTTATCGATAAGCAGATGATTTAAACATGCAAACTTCATAAAACATTTATAAAACATAATATAGAAATGTGTATAGTCAATAGTTTTTGTTTAACTGTCTATAAAAACATGTGTGGCTCATATAACATTTCAATTGATTGTTTTTTGTTATACCTTGTTGAATAGTTACATACATGTTATAGTTATACTTCGTCATTAGTTAATAATAGTTTTTTGGTCCATGTCAAAAAGTAATGTTTATAGATCCCTAGCTATAAATAAGTAAATGTATAACTTGCTCATCAATAACACATATCTTAAATGTTATAATTCATCCAGAAATGTATTGTAAAAAAGGATTTTACCAATGTAATCATAATCATCATGTCTTATTAATATATAATTAATTTAAGGAATTCATATTACACAAACTAATGATATGATTTTAAAAAGCATTACTTCGAATTAGTGAACATTATTCATGATTGTAACATTGTTTATGAACATTAAAATACAACTTTTAAGTTCAATTAATTTAATATGTATTAATATATATAAAGTGTTACATAACTTACATTTGGCCAGATGTATCCATATTGATTTATTTATAACCATAGGGAATTGTTTAAAACGTGACAGATGCTATTTGTCAGAGTAGGAAAAGCACAGCTGTAAATAATAAAATGTAAGAATGGCCGCATTACATTTAGCTGCTTCAGAGTTAGGGCTCTGGTATTCCGCATGGCATTTATTAGTGGGACGCTTAAATGGAACACAGCCATCGTTATTGTCATCAGTAACACCTGTGCTTTCCTATTATGACAGGTCATAATGTCTGCTGTGAATAAATGCCTAATGAAATGTTGGAGCTTTTGCCAGATGACACAGTAAATGCTAAGTTATACCAATAGGAATACTAATGACAGCACATGGTAAAGTATATCATTCCAATGTACAATATTTAATTTTAAATGTAGATTTTATTATCTTTTTGGTATAGTTAACCTATTACATGTACTGGCACTTTGTGTCACTTGCAACGTTCTCTTGCACTATTTATTTGATCTATTTCTGTTTCTTCGTGCACTTTTTTTTATCATGTTATGTCTTAGGTGTGTTTATGTTGCATTGTTGGAGGAGCCTGGGTCAAGCAAAATCTTGAGAAAATGCAATGATCTACAACAAAAACACAGATAAACGTGTTTGGTATGAGAAGAAGATGATTACAATAATTCATACTGTATAGTGCAGCTTAATAAGGATAAACAAACTTGACAGATTCACATTCTCAGTAACTTATGGTGCACACGAACAGTTCACACGTGCTCCTTATTGATCGTATCACATCTAATTTCTCTCACAGTTGGAGTCTGTCAGATGTGCCTGAGGTCATACACCCTCACTTCCTGTCTCGGTGCGGTGGGGATTCTCTTGACTGTTTGGTAACAAATGATCATCCTCCTGGCTGCCCTCTGAAGCCCAGGCTGAAATAGCCCTCAGTAGCCAGCTCCTTCTCCCATATACACACCTAATGGAGGTGGGAGACGACCGAGATGGATTTCCTCTGTCATTCTCCACTCATGCGTGCCAGACTCTATTTGAAGAGATAAGCCATGTTTGAGTCCAAGTCTCTAATTAGCCATGTGGCCCTTTTTCCTCATTGGGAAAGCTATTATGCTTCCTAATAACAGCTTTCGCCGAGCCCTGAAAGGAAATAACTAACACTCTCAGTTAAGAGAAGGCATTGTTTTGAAGTCCAAAGTAAATGAGAGCACAGGATTGCATTTTGTGGGGATTTGCAAGTATGCAAATAGCATTAGAGGAAGATGCAGTGTGTGTGCATAAGCTAAAGCGCAGCGAAGAGAGACATGCCAGAGAAGTGGGTCTCAGATGATTAAGAGCTGCCTCTTTCCCCAGGCGCCTTTGTCTCTGGAGACACATCATCTTCCTGATAGTTTCTACGCTGAGCTTCGGCCCTGTGACAGATGACAGAGAGAGACGCCCAGCTACTCTTCCCCGTGTCTGGTTCAGGAGGGCAGACCGCTGCATCTAGCTTTATTTATCTTACAAATGACTCTATCTCTAGGCGCTGGTGTTTGACTTCACAGCTAGATGATTGAGAGGGTGTAGACCTGATCTGATCTCCACACTCCCCTCTCCCGGTTGTAATGTTTTCCCTCCTAGACACTTAAAACTCAAAAAGCCTCCTTCCATTAGTTCCAAAACAGGTATTTTTCTCTTCTTGCCAACTCTCATGGAACATGCTGCTAATCACATTTGATATGGTCTGTGTTTCAGTTCCTATTCTATTAAAAGACACCTCTGTGTAATCAAGAAGCCTCTGTGTGTTTCTGTCTTTCATTTCTTTTTTCTTCAAAAGACAAGAACAGGATCCTTCATTTCCTAATTAACCAACACAGGGGTTTGTGGAGGAGAGAAAATAAATTGAAGCATGGATTGTCCTCCGAGTCGAGGCAATTAGCACCTTATCCTTGCCTGCACCGCTACGCAACAT